TACCTATAATACAAATAAATATGTATATTAAAAAATATTTGTGTAAACCAGTAATTATTATACTAAATTATTTAAAAGTTTTAAAATAATTTAGTTAAAAAAATTATTTGTAAAAAAATTGTTTAAAAAAGATCAAAAAAGTTTAATCTCTTTGAAAACTTTACATATATTTTGTTGTAGTTTAGTAAGCAATATTCGTAACTGATTTGAATTTTTTCACGTATACAGAACATAAAAAACGAATAAATGATTATGCTGCTTTAACATTAAGATAACTTGATCATTAAATAGTATAGTTTCTATAGGACAAATAATGTTAAGTACATTATTTCTGATGGTTAACAAATTTTATTTTTAGATATTTAACCAATTTCTAGGATTTTTTAATACTTCAATAAGCATTGCTTCTTTTGATTCCGGTTCTGGTTCATGCATGTATTGCCACTTGGCAGATAAAGGTAAAGACATTAAAATGCTCTCGTATCGTGCCCCAGGAGTATACAGACCAAACTTTGTACCACGATCATATATTAAATTAAATTCAACATATCTTCCTCTACGTAGTAACTGCCATTGTCTTTCAGCATACCCATATGCATCATCTTTATGCTTTTTTACTAATGGAATGTAAGAAGGAATTACAGCTTCTGCACAAGACTTTACAAATTGAAATGCTTCATTTTGATTTGGTTCATCAAGGTCATCAAAAAAGATACCACCTACACCCCTACGTTCTCCTCTATGTGTGATGAAAAAATAATCGTCACACCATTTTTTAAATTGTGAATAATAAGATGGACTATGTTTATCACATGCAACTTTTAGAGTATTGTGAAAATGTTTTACATCATCTTCATTTAAATAATAAGGAGTTAAATCAGTACCACCTCCGAACCACCATTGAATTGTACCATCCCGATTTTCAATTTCAAAATAACGATAATTAAAATGTATTGTTGGAACCATAGGATTACGAGGATGTATTACAGCGCTTACACCAGCAGCAAAGAATGGTGCAGGTCCTTCTTGCATTTTTTTTCCACGTGCTCTCATTTGTTGTACAGCATTTGGTGGTAATGTACCAGTAACAACTGATACATTTACACCAGCTTTTTCAAACACAATTCCATCTTGTAAGACACATGTAATTCCACCGCCACCTTCTTTTCTGATCCATCTATCTACTTTAAAACGATGATCTGGATCTTCTAATGATTCTAAAGATTTACAGAAATTTTCTTGAGTTTTCATTT